CAAACTACTATACTGTGAACTAGCAATATGCAATTTCCACTCAAATAAACACATATGTCTTGTTTCTTAATCTGAAACATTCTTCTCCTTCCCTATTGTTTCTACAGCAGTGGAAAGGACTCACCACAATAATAGTTTTGTATTTCAGGATCTTAGCTTTTTGTTTTCTAATTGACTGCATTGGGAGGTATGCAGCACAGTTCTCAGTTGGTCTTTCTTGTACTGTGACGGAGTTCTGCGTCTTATTTCATTTTCCTCCAAAACGGTGCTGTATGAGGTAACGGCATCCAAACAATGTCATAGGTGGTGATTTGAGGCCAGGAGATTAGATCCATTAACCATGAAGAAACTGTCACGAGGCAAAAAAAGGAACAGGGTCTGGCTCGACCTCGGCAGACCATCTGGATGAGGGATGCTGGCATTGCTCTTCAAGCTCCAGCTCCCAGATCACCTCTGGGGGCTCCTAGAAGCCCGTGTACGTGAAGGCTCAGTTTTCGGTTGGAGCCCAGAGTTTGATCTAAGCGGCTGCAGCACTTCCAGCCCCCCTCCCCACCTTGGCCCTGCCTGTCTCCCATAGCCCCTGCAACCCTCAAAAGAGTTCTCAACAGCCCCTAAAGCACCTTGCTTTCACTTTGCATACCTGTAAAGCTGAGGCTTTCCTCTCCTTCCTTTTTCATTAATTTGACCCAGTGAGAGGGTCTTCAAGAGCAAAAGCCTAGAAACTTACGACGGGCAGGCTCCTCGTAGGAGGAGGAAGCAGCCCTTTTCTCTCCTTCAGGGACCCTCGTCTACCTGTCCGAGATGCTGCTCCCACAGCAGGTTCAGCGGGAAGCAAGGGGCACATCCTGCAGCCTGGGGTGGGATGGCTGTCAAGGGGTTTGTTTATTTATTTAGAAAATTTCTATGCCGCCCCATTCACCGAAGCCTCGGGGCAGCTCACAAAACATCAATTAAAATATAATACACTAAAAATATAAAATGAATTAACAATATAAAATAAAATTTTTGACAGCCACAAGCACGATACCCTAAATTTAAAAATCAGCTGGGGAACCGGATCCCAGTTCTTCCCATCTCACATGGAAAGGGTAGGTGGGAGAGATTTCAGGGTTACTCCAAGGTGAGTTTGGGGGAGTCTCTGCGATCCCTGATTTGTATTGCTCCTGCAGCCAGTTTGGTTCCGTAGCAAGATAGCTTGCTCTCCAGGGGCTTGCTGTACCCCTCAGATTTTGGGGCCACCCGTGGCTCTGTGGCCAAGGGCTGCTGGGAGCTCCAGGCCAAATCCTCTGGTAGCCACAAGTTGCCCCATGATCGTAGGCTCCCACTGTCCCTCTTCCTTCCGAGAACCTGTTTCATGAAGGCTGTGATCCTGGGTCTCCTCACCTGGGAAGAATCCCAGTTAAGCATAGTGAATAAGCATCCAAAGGATTGCTCTATGCATGTGCTAGGAGTCTAGGAGCTGTTGGATTACACCTCGCATCAGGCCTGACCCTCAGCTGAAGCCAGCAAGATCTGGATGGCCAGAAGTTCTACAGCCCCATTTGAGGTAGAGAGAAAAATACATGAGTTGAATCGAGTTTCTTTCATCCTGGGCAGTTGCTTTGAAGAGGAGTGTTTCTTTGAGAGGTGAAGGTTTGTACAGCAGAGAGCAAACAGCAGCTCCAGCTTTCAGAGATCCAGAGAACTTGTGGAAGGCAAGCAAATGATTCACTTTCTTGCTTAGAATGGCCGGCTCCATTAATTAGTTCAACACTAATTGGTGGGATCTTGGTTTAGTGCTTGCTTTTGTCTGCCATTTCTGCTGTGCAATTCTGACCTTTATGAGAAATATCGATCACTGTGGATCGATCTTGCTGTTAACAGCAAACAGCAGCAGGGTAAGTACTGCCAGCATGTCTGCTCTGCTGTTAGAACAAACAGTATCTATCAAACCGGGTGTTTCAAGAGACTGCTGCAGATTAGCCGAATTCATCTCGCTCCGAGCATTTCACTGACATGTGAGGAACCCGGTGAGCTTTCAGCAATGCCAAAGGGCCCTTTAGCTCCCACCCACTTGGCCCCATGTAAGCGCTACTTGTTGGCGTGTGTGCACTCACGATGACATCTCGCCATGCGATTCGTTGACCCTGGTAGCGGGAGGCAGGCGTGAGAATGATCAACTCGTGGGGCTGCTGCCAGGAGTACCTGGTGGGGAGAACCAGGCTGGCTCTTGGATGCTCACACACGGTATGCAAGCCAAGATGATGGTGCAGAGCCCCAACTGTATTTCCTTAGGAAAGCAGTAAGCCTACTCTGAGGAGGATTTGGCTGGGATACTGCAAGAATTCTGGCCACTGTCTAGCAGAAAGCAGCAATGGGTTGGATCCAGGCTTGTGTGGTGCTTACAGCAGACCTGTTAAAATCAGTGTACGTTGCAGATTTTGGTGGGTCTCCCCCGAGCGTCGCTACATCTATCTCCAAACACAGGTCTAGAAATATAGGGTCGCAACAACGTTCATCAATCCATTTGATAGACCAGAAACTAGTGAGGAAAGACCATGACAGCCGAGTGCTACAAGAAGTGCCCTTTCCCCCCACAGTCCTCAAAGTTGCTTTCAAACTGGGGCTGGCGTTCGATCTGGAAGTATGGTCTTCATCCCCCTGCCCCACCCTGCCCCCAGATTTGGCAGCTCATTGCTAAGGACCTGTTGTAAATCTGCTTTGGATGAATGGGGGGGGGGGACATCTAAAAATATTTTTGGCCAGAATGCCATTGGTCCCCTCTGCTTGCATCATTACGAACGTATAGCAAGGCAGAACTAGACACTCCAATGCAGATGATGCCTTGAGGATGGATTACTTGAGCTATTCATATACATGAATAACGGGATGAATTTCCTCGGCCTGGTTGCCGTCCTCATGTAGCTTCTTGCCCACCCCATGCCACTCGCTAGAGTAGGAGAGGAAACGTCTTTCAGTGTTTCAGAGGTAACTCGGCAGAAGCCCCCCACTTGCTCTGGGATTTGGGGAGGGAGGGCCACAAAATGGCCACAGAGGACCAAGACAAGCAGCGCTGGAATGGCTGCCTCAGCACCAGCGGGACGTTTCCCCCTCCGCCGCCTGAGGGCTTCATTAGCCCTTCACAACTAACCAAATCCTCATCTCCCTGTGGCACTGTGCCATCATCATCAGACTAGGTTTCCCCAGCCCGTTTAGAATTGCTTAGTGATTGAAAATTGGGGCTCGACCAAGAATAAGAGCGGCTGCCACAGAACAGACTGCAGTGTCTCCTCCCACCTCCTCCCCGAGAGAGGCTTCGACGTTTTAGAAGCATTTTCACACACCATGTGCAGTGGTGATAAATCAAAATTGATCTTAGTCATGATTCAACTGTTGCTGCAATTTACGTCTGCGGTTTTGCTGATCACAGCAAAACATCAGGCAATGCAGAGAAATCTCTAACCTGCATCCTTAATGTTTTCTTTGCACTTAGACCTTGAAGGCGGGCGGGCGGGCATGTCTGTGTGTGTGTCAAGTTGGCAGAGGCTGTGTGATAGTTCACCATCTGAACTTCGCACTGCCCCATCTAGCTGCTGCTGGCTCTCCTCTACTGGTGTGGACAAATGAGAAAGGAAGTGAGATGGTGAACATCTTTGTCCCGTGAATCTATTGGAGGTGTGACAGCCTCCAGCTGTGATGGAGTACAGCACCCGCCAGCATGGCCAATGGGAGGGGTTGCGGTCTCAAAGACGCGGTTGGGGAGGGGTGCGCTAGATTGGGCTTCCCCAGCCTTATGCCTTCTAGACACATTTGGACTGCAACATTCAGAATCCCCACTCAATGGCCCCACTGGATGGGAATTCTGGGAGTTGTGGTCCAAATGCCTCTGGCTGACCTAGATCACAGAGGGACATAATTTAGGACAACTGTTGTTTTGCTCAAAGATACCCAATGAACACTGAATTACCTCTGAAGGTACAGGTTCAGAAAGACAGCTGCAGGAGGACAAGCTCAGGCACTCCTGTAATGGCAGGGCAGGGCACCTTCCCAACATGATGATAAGCACTGTTTGGAGAAAAGGGCCATGTGCACGCCTGGGATAAACAAACCCTGACTGAATAATCCTGGCATGTGATCTCACAGAATGGCTTGGAGGCATGTGGCACAGCAACCTTGCTGAGGTTCAGCAGGTCTGGTCAGCACCTGGGCATCTTGTGACTGCCACTCTGGCTTCCATGAGGGAAGAAGTAAGAGGTTCAATCAAGCAGAAGGAAGCAGGGCCAAAGACCATGAGAAAGAAGTGCAGCCATTCCAACAGCTCGGATGAAAGCTTGCTGGGTAGGCTTCAGTGCTCCTACGGAACGAGGCCTTAACCCAGAAGCAGCCAATTCCAGTGCTTTGATCTACAACTCCCTCACAACTGGCCAATACGAGTTGCGCTCCTGATGCGTTGGCCTCCAAGCTGTCCACCCCAACTTAACCGTGACTGTTGCCAGAAACTGAACTTTGGTAACCAGAATATTCCAGCTTCCATGGTCGAAGCTCTAGCAGCTCTCATTCCAGACCAATAGGAAGACCACTATTACATTGCTTTTATGCCTCAGCATTTTGTCCTCTGGCAAGGGACCCAAGAATCCTCCTTACATGATCCTCCACCTCCCCATTTTTTTCCTCACAACCACCTCGTGAGGAAGGTCAGGCCGAGAGTCAACGGCTGGCCCAAAGCCCCCGAGGGAGCTTTGTGGGGAGCAAGGGCTGGGACCCCCGTGTCCCAAGTCCCAGGCCAATGCTGCACCCGCCACGCCGTGCTTGCTCTGTAATGCCAACTAGCTCTGCTCACTTGCATAGGTGGCTCAACGCTGGACCACGGGAGGAACTGAATGGAAAGAAAGCATCATGCGCTGGATGTGACGATTCACTGCTTACCCATTCTAGATGGTGGCTATAATTTCCAGAAATACCTTTGGGAGACGTTCGAGTTGGGTGCATCCCAATGAAGTCCAATCTTCACGCTGTTTTTATACAAAAAAATTTAATAAATATTTTTTCAAGATTTATTGCCAGGAATAACACATCAGAGATGCATTTTCAGGTTCATGTAACACTAATATTACCATACAAGATATCCTGATGTTCTTAGTGGTTGACCCACTGAGATTATCATTGTCTGAATCCAATTTCCAATGTTTTGATCTTCCAACTTCTGTAATAGCACTTTGATTTCCTCACTTTTTTAAGGCGGGCAGTGGAACCTAGAGCAAATCTACACAGTGATTGCGCCGGACATTCTACTGTTCAAGTATTCAGCAATTAGCTTATGGGAATACTTTCTACATACAGTAGATTACAAGGAAAAGAAATCAAATCTACCAAGTGGTTCAGTATTATCTATTCATGGTGGTGGTGGGGAAAATCAAGAGTTTACAAAATAAGATTTCGGTGCTTCCAACTTCACGCACTAATTCGATATTTTTAATTACATGCAAACCACTCACATCTCTCACATTTCATCTACAGAAGGTTATAGCGCTTTTGTGTTCCCTTACACTGCTCTGAAGCAGATGATCTGCCTGTCATCCTTTCCTTCCCCCCACCCCATCACTAAAGCAGCCAGAAAAAAAACCCTAGCCTACTTCTAAACTGCCTCAGCTGGTACTTAACAAATAGTCTTAAAGTGATCCTATGGGAGCTGTTTTCAAAGGAAAAGAAAAAGAGAGACCACACACTTGACATGGTACAAAAAGCCAGCGCTGAAGGTGAAAGCTTTTCCTATTGTTAAAAATTAAAAAACAAACAAACTGATTTTCAGAACACCTTAAATTTTGGCATGTAGGCAACATGTAACAAGGAAAAAAAAAGTAAAAAAAAAAGTAAAGAAGCCATCAGTTTACAATGCTATGGAAAACCTTCAGCTCTAAACACATACATATAAATAAAAAAGGAATGATATTTAAGGCTCTTGATTATTAAGTTAATAAATCAAATATACACAGTGATTAATAAAAAAGAATTATTTACATAACTATACAAACTTCTACTTTTGACACATTTTCCTCTCAATTCTTCATTTTTTTACCAGCAACTGCTGACAAGAAGTCCCCCATGCCCTCCCCCTCCCCTCCCCAAACAAACAAAAAATACAATAAAAAAAATAAATAATAAACTTTTCTGATAGTTGCTGTGGTTCTGAGCTGCAAAGGCACTTTCAAATACAGAACTAGTTGTACGTCACCATAAAACCAATATACAAAAGAACTCTAATTCAATAAATAAATAAAATGCATTTTTCTAAGACTATATATTGTGACATCTCGAGAGAGCAAGGAGAGGAAAGAAAAAATGGAGGGGGTTTCTTACTACAGGAAAAAGCTAAATAAAAGGCTACACGATACCTTTGGAAACCTTTCCGGGATGCATCAGCTGCGGTGGAACTGACACAGGGGCACTTTTGACTAGTTTTGCATAGATGTGAAATGCAGCACTCAGTAATCCAGCCAACCACAGCAACTATCCCTGCCAGTGTAAGCCAGCTTGTCAAAACTTAAATTAACACAGGGATTCTAAGCAAATAATAGCCTTAGACTCAAAATATTACACAACTGTTTTAAGAACTACAAGCTCCGAGTTGCCTTGAAGGGGTAGGCGAAGGCCCTGCCCAGCGGCCCCTGCGGCCTGCTATACTATGTATTCCATTCGGTTTAAACTTTGTGCGCTTTCCAAGTCCCGGTTGTCTTGTTTGTTTGTCCAGTTCGGGTGTTTTGAGGGGGTGCCGTTGGGTGGCTTTTCATCTCTGTCTACTAGCGTGTACGTTGCCTGTTTGGCAAAGCGGGTTTTCTGCTGGTGCTTGTCCATATCGTCTTCCTCCACCTCAGAGTTGTGTGTCCTTATTTTGGCAATTTTGGAGTTCTTGTTTTCATAGTCTTTGATTGGGACGGCATTGGCGCCGTGCTTCTCTATGGGGTTTTTGATCTGATTCAGCTGCTCTCGCACGTTGTTGGTGGTGTTGTCATCCGACACGGTGTGCGTGTGGCTGCTTTGCTTTCGGCGCTTGCGAAGGCACCAGTAGAAGGCAGTGACCAAGCAGCAGATCCAGGCCACCGTAAGAACCGAGCTCAGCAATGGAACCAAGAAATCTGAAAGGCAAGCCACAACTCTCATTAACCTCAGGGACAAGTGTTTGCTTGTTTTCAGGAAAGACACTCCATGCCAGCAAATCCTCTAACACGGCTATTTTTAAAAAGTGTCTACGAAGATGAAATAGGAATATAAATATCTGTTATAAAATAGGAAAGCTGATTGCCAGCTCCAGAAGACAAAGGATGCTTCCCTGTTCTCAGGGTTGACGTGGCGTGAAGTGGGGAATGTGGATGATCAATCCTGGTCCAAGGATAACTGGATCCACACCATTTGAGTCAAAGTTTTCCATTTAAGTTAGGGGTGGGCAACTCGTATCCCTCCAGCTGCTTTGGCTGTCAAAATTGAGACTGGCCAACTCCTCCCGCAGCTAAGGGCAGCCCCTCAGCCATTGGAACGTGCCTCATTGCGGAAGCCAAGAAGTGGAACGACACTTGGTGAATTCAGCTCTTGGCTGACCAGGTAGAATGCAGGGCATGCTCTTCCTAGCACTAATTCAGTAGAAATGTCAGCATTCAGAACAAGGAGGGCAGCTCAAAGGCCAAATCTATCCAGTTCAAGCAATTCATTAGTGCTCAGTGGAATATTCCTCTATCTGAAATCCTAGCATGCAGTAAAGAATTACCTGTTTTGCTTTTAATTGGCCGCCTCTGAACCCGGACTTCTGCAACTGCAGCAATCAGGGTATTGTTCCCATCACGCTTGCTAACAAGGTCAATAATCTTATCAGTTATTTCTTTTATTGGGTTATCTTCCTCCTGAATGTCTCCAGTAGACTATGAGAAGAATATGATATTATATTAGAAACAACATGGTTTAAAAATCATCTGATGTTAAGTCCTGCTAATTTAGTAGATCCATTCTAAGCAGGACTAACTCTAGATAGAACCCATATAAGCCAAAGATTGGAACAGGAGTAAAGTTTTCAGCAAAGTATGAAATGAAATAGAGCTTATGGTCCCAATCCCCAATACAGGAAGTCCTGGCTTTCACCACTGCTGGAAGGCTAACAAGTTAATGCCCTGTGCCAACATCAGGCCTGCTAGTAAGGCAGTGGAAACCAGCCTTACAATTTTCAACATCTTTTGACAGAGAAGAACATATCCTGCAATTTAAGGCAGCATCAGTGCCAATTATATCCTTGGATTATTTAGGACACCATTCTATGCATGTGCGAAAGGTCCTTCCTCCCAGCTGGTATGTTTTCTATCTGAATATGCAGAATATACTTATCAGGCCTTGTTTATTCAAATTAGTGCCAGTTAGCCACAGAGAGAGAGAGGTGATAGACTTACAATTGCAACATGAATTTCACTCTCTGCCAAGTGTGATGGTTCACAAGTGATGTAGATGGTATATTCAACAGAAACATTCTTCAGGATACTTAGGTTCCTCAGCTCACTGCAGATATGCTCAGTAGTAAGACCCTGGAGGAAAATACACGCAGGCGCGCACAACCATGAGAGCTTGCACAGGTTCAGTTTTGTGAAGAACGTGACTCATCTGTCCTTTTCTCATTACTAACTGTGCCCGGCTGCAAATACAGAAGACACTGTCTCTCCACTGCAGTAGGACGTGTGCTATGCAAGAACAGCCATCGTTACGCGGAGGCAAGTGTGCCGAGCGTAAACTCCTCTTGGCTTCCTAACAAGTTCAGCAGCTGCATGAGGCATGTGTCTGGCAACTGCGTCTGGGGCATGCGCGTCTTTAGAAGTACTTTAGAAGTGTAATGTGTGCCATGGCCCTGAGGTGGTTAGTTGAGTTTGACTTTGGGAAAGCCTCAGTCAAGACGCGTGGCCTTGCTCAAGCAAGATGGTGCTTAAGCAGCGGTGGGCACGTGACATCTCTTTCCCTATGCTGTACCCAGGTATGGTTCTGGCAAGGTGGTCTCATGTACGCCACCCGGTGAAACAAGGTTGTGGAACAGCCGTTCCCACTGTATCCCCCTTCCAAATAGCTTGGGCCAGAGCCCCCAAGGGTGGGGTTTAGCTGAGCACTGCTTGAGGCCCCCACACTGGGGAAACTGTTGTGGAGAAACAGGTGCTTTCCTGGTTTTCCAGACCACTGATGGGTGTCAAGGTCACGCTTTGAGATCACCAGTGAGGCTATCTGCATTTGTTGGTTTGAGCCACTTGCCTCCTCCCCCCAGAGTGCAGAACAGGCACACTTACTGGGCTCATCATCTCCTTGTTGAAGGTGAAAGTAATGTTAGCACAGTTGTCCTGGTAGAAGTCGGAATTGCACATGGTTTTCACTGGCTGTTGGTTTGAAGGCCAGCACTCGCCAATGTTGTCGCAGGGCTGAACAAAGCACTGGTTGTCCTTAATGGGATGACATGTGTGGCTTGCAGGACACTCATTCTGGCTTTTGGCATTGATCAGGCAAGGCTTTGGACCACACCAGACCTGGATGAGAGCAGACACTTCATTGGTAACTGGCCATGTGCATGGAAAACGAGCATGGGCCAGTTAGGCAAGATGTTCGAGGACGATACCTTAGAACAGGTGACTTTTCCATTCACGCACTGGCAGCTGTTGCACTCATCATCCCATTTTGACCCATCTGGAATAATGTGGCTGCTGGCAACACAAGGCTTGCCTGAAACTAAAAGTGAAAGAATTAAGGGGTTACCCAGCTCCCTGGCAGCTCCAAAATGGCCTGAACTGACACTGTATTTCAGGTAGTTAGCAAGGGCTGAAGGGAAACCTCCGAAACCTCCCCCAAGCCCCTTTAGCTCCCTGCTTTTTGAAGCATGGCCAGTGAAAGGAAGGACATATGGCAAATGTGGGTGAGATGCTGCTGACTTTTATCAGCACCTGTTCAACCCCAGTACTGACAGGGAGGCCTGGGAAAGGGTATGTTTCTAATGATGCCTTGAGCCCAAATTTAACAAAATCTACACAGTGACGAGTAACACTGATACTTCATTAATTTTGTCTAGGGTTTATTTCTTTAGAGCTTTTATATATTGTTCATTTACCAAAAGACCAGCATACAGCAAGGATAAGAACGGTATTAAAAATATGACAGAATACCTTCCTGGCATCTTGGACCACTGCGGCCAGCTGCGCAGATACAACGGTACCCATTGATTTCATCCACACATGTGGCTCCGAAAGCACAGGGTGAGGACTGACATTCATTGATATCTGCGGTACGGAAGGGGCGGAGGAAGAGACAATCAGGAGAGCCATGTAATTGGCCATTGCAGCATGGAGAGGTTTACTCTAAGCAGAGATCTCACGTGAAGAATCTTGCCGAGGAGATGGAGACTCCGCAGCCGCTTCAGAATCTCCAAAGCGCAAGGTCATTGCCCACCCATGAACCTGCATCAACCCTCTGCTGCGTCGGAGTAACTCTCAGCCAGTTGCAGAAGGGCTTTTTTACCTACAGTTTCGGCCATAGATATCAAAGACCTTCAGTAGGTTAAACATTTCCTTTGCCACTAAGCTATGGACCGGGCCGACCCTGCCTTCAACATGCATAACCTTTTAATACAGCATTTCAGCTTCAACTTTTATTATTGGCATGAATGCATCCTGCTTTCATCACTGCCTCTCAGTTTTTAAAGAAATGGAAGTGTCCTCTTACCTGTAATTTAATAATAATTACAGGGAAACATGTATACCACCTCAGGGTCTCCAGGCAAAAATGATTAGTAATTAGGAGACATTTTATTGTGTGCACTTTCCTATCACAAGAAAGCTCACCTCAAATGAAAGGGCACGAGACACTGTTTCAGAGCATGCTGGAATGATGCCTCCTTGAAAGCTGGAGGCTCTCATGCTTCAGCTCACTGAAATCGACAAGACCTTTTAAAGGTAAGACCCTCAACCATCCAATGAAGCAAAGCAGGGGAAGATTTAGGACAGATGAAAAAGGAAACACGTCTCACCCAACACATGGGAGTTTGCTAGCATGTGATGAGGTCTTGACCCATTTAAGACCACTTCAAAGGGGGACTGGGAAAATTCATGGGGTGAAAGACTATCCACTGCTACCAAAGATGATGGCTCTAGGCTTCCTCCCATATAGAGGCACTGTGCTTCTGAATACCAGTTGCCAGGGAGCACAAGCAGAAAGGGGCTGTTGCACTCGTGTCCTCCTTGAGACTGGGACTTCTGGCTGGCCACTGTCCCAGCAGAGTGCTGGGCTAGACAAGGCCCTGGTCTGAGCTAGCGGAGCTCTTGTGTCCTCGTGCTTATGGAACTGACTTGTCCTTTGAGGGACTTGAGCAGGACTAACTTAGTCTGCAACTGGGGCAGAGCAAGCCAAGGAAAATCGCTTTGCTTGACTCCAGTTCCGCTGTAGTCTCCAGCCAGGTGACCCAGAGGGGTCAAGCTGCAAGCTGTGATTTAGCAAGGTTGCACGGACTTCGCCACTCTTGTCCAAAAGTCACATGAGGAGGAAGGAGGAGCTGAGGCCCCACAAGCACGTACTTATCCTGCAGTCTGGGCCTGCAAAGCCTGGGGCACATTCGCAGCGGTACCAGTTGTCTCCATCCACACAAGTTCCACTGTTATAGCTGCAAGAGGAAGGAGGGAAAGAGAGAGGGCAAGAATGTTAAGCAGAGAATGTCTTTTCAAGCATCTGTTTCCAAAGCCTGCATGGTTTCATCCAAAAGCTACAGTACAAGGATTACTGTAAAGCAGGGCTAGGCCACTTGTCGGCCAAAACATCTGGAGGGCCCCCACTTGCATCAGTCTCAGCCAGTGAGGAGCAGCTCGGAGAGTTGTAGGCCACACCATCGGGAAATTGCCCACCCGTGCTCTAAAGCAACGCTATCCATTTCCTATTTTGCAAGGAGGCAAGATGTTACGGTCATCCCTTAGAAACTGCAGTATTTTAATTAAATGTAATAACTGCTTCCAGATGCTGCCTAGTTAAATGATATGGAAAGATGCTTGCTTGGCCAGTCCATCTACTTGTTGGTGGACACAGGGGAAGAAAAGTAAACTCAAAGTGATAAATAGGAAGGAAGTTCAAGAAGCACGGCAATAAGACACACTCAGGTACAATCAAAAGATTTGGGGTGGGAGGCAAGGGGAAGAAAGTCAAGGGTTTTCTTTTTGAAGGGTCCTTTTTGGTTCACATATGTACACCCCACCCAGAGATTTCTACCACTCAAGGAAAATAACACATTGAGAGCCCAACTCGCTCCCAGGTCCTGATGCTTACCAAGGGTGTGGATTGCAATCATTGGTATCTGCAGAAAGATCAAAGAAAGACATAATTAGGAGCAACCCCTGGGCAGTCAAGGCAGTTTCACAATGGATGCACTGGCTCAGAGGGCTGCTCCTGGCTGGAGGTCTTCCAGCCCCCCATGGAGAGCCCTCTGGCTCTAAATATCCAGCACTGAGCAGGGAACCAGCCATCTCAAGTGGCTCAACACAATCTTGGTAAAATTGAGGACACTGAATTTCTGCTGTGATCTACAAGTCCCTTTCCAAACAGGTCTGAGATGGTCCTCCTGCCTGCCCCACACAGGGGGCCATGCTGGTAGGTATCTGGCTGATTTGCAGTAGAATGATTAGATCTTGGACCCTAAATTATTTAGTCAGGGCAACATCCCTCAATTATCTGGCTGAAAGGAAGGCAGCTTGGTGTAAACCTGTTTTGCATGGATGGAGGGAAAGCGCAGTTCTGCTACTCAGAACAAATTCTTGAGCTCAGAGTTTTTTTGGTTTAAGTCTTTCTGCACCAGGCTTTGGCTGGCAGTCAGATGGTAGTAAAACAAACAAACAAACAAACAAACAAACAAACGGACCTTGCAGGCCTGAAGTCTGCACAGCCCCCCCAGTCTCTCTTCCTCGCTATCTTGCTCACCTCACCCCGAAGAGGCAGATTCTCATAAGGAATCCTCATCTTGGGGAAGTGAGCAGACTAAAACCCAGGTGGTGGCTGCTAAGAGCAGAGGAGGGCCAGCCCGAGATCAGAGCATGAGGATGGCAGCGGTGCAGACAAGATGACATCTACCTCCACTTATCTCCTTTGCAACTTTCTCCTACCCACGCCAGCGCCCTGTTCTGCAGTGTCATGAAAGCCACCTGGCTCAGGTGATACTAAAGGCCCACATCAAACAGCTTCCTCCTTCTGGTTTCAATCTCAAATCCTCGAGGGGAACCAGATGAACCAGTGTGCTCATCAACCGTCCCTTTGGGAAAGTCTGGGTGCAAAAGGAAAAGCACTTACTCTGAGTACAGGTAGGTCCTTCCCAGCCTTCTTTGCAGACACACGTGAAGGATTCTCCGCTCACTACGCACGTCCCTCCATTGTGACAGGGGTTGGGGAGGCAGCTGCTGTTTCTTGCTGCAAGAGCAGTGAACAGAAGTGTTGGAGGCCGAGTCCTGCGGAGAGGCCTGGCGAGTGGCCCTCTCTCACACAGACATGCTTACCGATGTTGCAGGTGGCTCCTTCCCAGCCTGCTGGACACATGCACTTGAAGGCGTCTCCCTCGTCGTAGCACGTCCCTCCGTTATTGCAGGTGGCCTCGTCACACTGACTGTCGCCTGCACAAGTGAGAACCGGGCGGGTCAGAACCAGCAGGGGAGAAGGGCGAGCTGCCTTCTGCTCGGCCAGGAAAGGGCTCGGGATGGCCATGCTTGCCCCAGGCATTCCTGCCCACTGCAAGATCGTCCACAGAGGCCCTCCTGTGAGTTCCTCTCCCCCAGGAGGTGAAGGGGGATGTTGTGAGGGGGAGGGCCTTTTCCGCGGTGGCTCCCCAACTGTGCTCTGCCGTCAGAGATTCACCAGGCGCACACCTCGCTGAGCTTCAGGCACCTGATGGAAACTGTTCTCTTCTAGAGCACCTATGGCACCACTTAGACTATGCATATGAATGTGCAATATTTTTAATATATTAAATTTTAGCGCTATTTTTACTTGACTATGCATATGTGATTTTCTCCTATTTATTATGCTATTGTAATTGTATTGTTTTATTTATGCTACTTATGGGTACTTTTATTGCAAAGACTGCCCAGAGAGTATGATGCTAACGGGCGGCTTCCAAAAAATCTAATAGAATAAAACAAAATAAACAGTTTTGCCCATTTCTGAGGGGCTGTCACATGCATCTCACAACTGGACCACCTCTATGAGCACTGACCCTTGTCAGCTGGAATTCAGTTTGGTACTGCAAGCCCGAATACGGCACTAGAGTACATGGCCTGCAGTGCTGTGGCTTAAACCTGGGATGAGGAACACTTTGTGGTGAATTAGGTTTGCAGTATCTCCGCATTTCCATAGCAGGTGCAGCCAAAGGCAAAACTGGTATGGCCAAGCATGTGCAAAAATTACAGTACATTTACATATTCAAATCCACTGAGAGCCAGTGTGGTGTCGTGGTTAAGAGCGTGGGACTGGGACTCAGACGATCTGGGTTCTAGTCCCCTCTCAGCCATGGAGCCACCTGGGTGACTTTGGGCCAGTCACAGACTCTCAGCCCAACCTACCCCACAGGGTTGTTGCTGTGGGGATAAAATGGAGGAGGAGAATGATGTAGCTGCCTTGAGCCCTTTGTAGGAAAAAGGCAGGATATAAATTGGAAAAAAAAATCTATTTGTTCCATGCCTCTCTACAGCCATAGCGTAGCTTACTCTCAGTAGAGGACCATTAGGAGAGACATTTCAACCTTTTCAAATGGGGGAACAAGCAGCATCAACTCCAAGAAACTACCGAATGATTCAAGATTGAGGGAAAAGGCATGGACCAGGGAGTATGGTCATCCAAAGGTCCACAGGGGCCTTTATTCAGACCCCAGGATGATGGGATTTGGCTTCCACGCCAAAGATTCCCAACCCCATCTGCCTCTCTGTTAATGCAGAACACAACTGCTTTGTCAAATTAGGTGCCCTTTTCAAGAAGTCTGTGTCTCCCAGTGAAGGAAAGTGATTAACAGGGAAAGACTTCTGGACATTTGCTTACAAAGCAGCTTGCCCTGAGCACCAGATCTGCAGAACACTGAGAGCAGGAGGGAAGCAATGGCACTTTTTCTGGAAAATGGCCAATCTGAGCTGGTCAGATTCATTTACCAAACCAGGCACCACTCTTCCAAAATACTCACGTGAGTGGCAGGTTTTTCCTTTCCAACCATTTTTACATTCACAGAAGAAATCATTGACCAAATCTCGGCATGTCCCTCCATTGTGACAAGGATTTTTACTGCAGTCATTGATGTCTGGAAGTAACAGGAGAAAACATGAGCTCCCCCACACAAAAAACGGCCTTTGCAGTTGCTGTAAATATTTAACGGGTCCACTTTATCCACATGTGTGTTCTACCCCTCTTCCTGATCTCTAGTCCCAGGCCTGCATTGCACACCTGAGGAGCTTAATGGATTGCTGATATTTTATTCTGCCCTGTGCCCTGCCAGCCACGTTCAGCTTTCCTGCCAACACACACCACTTCAATTCCCTTGGAACACATATACCAGTTAAGCTGAAAGCAGAGGAGGCCTTTGTATATAATGATACTCTTTCCAGGCCACAGGTTTTAAAAGCCTCCTTCCATTGCTTTATTGAGGCACTGCAGAGAAAAACTTCTGAGGCAGGTATTTCAGAGAAGGCAGTCTCTGCATTGGAAACACCACCTTAAACGGAAATCAAATGGAGGTAATGCCAGGAAGCCCCCAAGTCAGAGGTTGAACCCTTCTATATGACAGCTTGTATGATGTAGTGGTCAAAATGCTGGACTGGGACTCAGGTGATCTGGGTTGTAGGCCCCATTCAGCCACAAAGCACAGTGGGCCAGTCACAGACTCTTAGCCCAACCCACCTCACAGGGTTGTTGTTGTGAGGAAAAAATGGAAAGGACTATGTAAGATGCTGTGGGTTCCTCACAAGAGGAAAAAAGAAGGCATATGAAAGCAATGCAATTATAATGCTAATATAACATCCTTTTAACATACATATTGCTAGACGTGAATTTTCTAGGATTTCAGATGTGCATGCAACTGATGCAGGAGAGTGCTGCTTAACAACAAGAGTACTTCTGGTCCTAAGTTCCTCATCCATTTCTGAATTCAAATCACTGGGAATCAAAGTCGAGGCATATGGTCACCTAACACATTTTCCCAGTAAATTCAGTTACTATGGGGCTAAAATGCAGTTAGTGACTCTGGCACAAGGATAGGCAGCCCAGATGAAAGAGGGAGAAATGGCTGAATAGCTCCATTAACATGGCAAGACAAAAGTTCTCACAAAACCAGGGGGTACAGAACACGGCTGCCTCCCTACGCACACAAGAGCAGACTAACAACTCACAATGTTTCCTTACACTTGTATACAGCAAGTCTTCCTGCTCATGGGAGGCCTGTTTTATGCCCCATGCTTTAAAAAAAAAAACAGAATAAATAAAATTTGAATGAATTCAAATCTCCAGGGCCCAGTAAACTGCATCCTCCAGTAATAAAGAAACTGGCACAATAACTCTCAGAATCACTATTATTTTTGAAAAATGGATGGATGGGTGAAATGCCAGCTGACTAGAGAAGGGTTAATATTGTTCCTGTCTTCAAAAAGGGGGGAAAGAGGGTCCTGTTATCAGTCAGTCTGATAACAATCCCTGGGAAAACCCTGCAACAATTAATACAGTGGTCCATCTGCCCGCCCTTGAAAACAATGCAGTGATTACTAGAAGCCAACATGGATTTGTCAAGAACAAATATTGCTGGAGTAATCTGATCTCATTTCTTGATTGGGTAACCATCCTTGTGGACCGTGGGAATGCTGTGGACATAATCTATCTTGACTTCAGCAATACTTTTAAGAAAGCGCTCTATGATATCCTGATTAGCAAACTAGCTAAAAGAAGGCTGGACAGAGCAACTATCTAGTGGATCCACAGATAAGGACTCAAAGAGTGCTTAGCAATGGCACTTTCTCAAACAGGGGAGAGGTAACAAGCAGATTCCCACCAAGTTTAGTTTTCAGTCCAGTGCTCATCAACATTTTTATTAATGAATTGGCTGAGAAGCTGTAATGAATGCTGATCAGTTCTGCATATGACACAAAACCGAGTAGAATGCCTAATATCCCACAAGGCAGAAATCAACATTCAAAGCCATCTTGGTAAGTTGGACCTGTCAAATGGCTTGGACCTATCGATATGGCTGAAATCAGTGGAATGGAATTTAATGGGGACAAATACCAAGTTCTGTACCTAGCGAGAAGAAATCAACTGCATTGTTACAAGATGGGGATAGTTGGCGCCACAACTTTACAAACAAGACAGATCTCAGAAGTGTTGTGCATCACAAACTGAGTATGAGCCAACAATGCGATATGACTGGAAACAAGGCAAATGCTGTTTTGGGCAAATGTCATTTCCAAATTAAATGAAGTACTAGATCCCCTCTACTCAGCAATGGTAAGACCTCATCTTAACTCTACTGGTCCAGCCCTGGTCCAAAAACTAGGCAGAGCTTAATTAGAACATGCCTTTTCCTTAAGAAAGATACTGATGATACCTTAAGGAGATCTGCTTCTCTAAAAGACTATGCATCAGGACCAAGCCAATGAAAAGTAAGGAAAGCCTCGAACAGCAGCAAACCACCCCTTCCACTTCTTCATTGGCAGCTTCATGACAAGTGCCCTTCAGCTGGAGAAAGATTTGCTTACTGGCTTCACAGAAGGTCCCCTCCCATCCATCACTGCAAATGCATTTGTAGGAGTTGATGCCATCAATGCACGTGCCGCCATTTTTACATGGGTTGCTCTCACAATCATTAATATCTGCAAGAAAAATAAAAATAAAACATCGTTAATGAAAAGCACTGAAAAACTAAATGGGGAAGGATGGGGAACTCACCTAAGTTTCCCTCACCAAGTTATTGCTACCTGTATTTGCAAAAGAAGGACAATGGTGTATGAACATCCATCTATCCAGTCCATTTGATTACTGGCTAACCCCAAGATATTTTGACTAGAAATGCCAAGGATCAAATCAGATTCATCCTGCATGCAAAACCTATCCCTTAAAGAGTTTAAGTAGGAAGACTAGGCTAATAAAAGACAACTTATTATTAATCGCTTAGTATGTTAAACCCGTCATCAATCTGTGACATACTACCCAAAGCTTCAGTGCACACAGCATTAAGTCACAATTTCAGTTTATAAAATTATAAAAGGTTACACATTCAAGGGCTCAGGCTCGGGCCACTTCCAGTGAATTTTCCAAGGCCAACAAAACTCCGGGCTCAATTACTCTAAGAGTTCAGGGCAAAATCCACAAGGTTCTTCGTGCAGTACAGTTAAACCCCCTTTTCCCAGGGACAAATTATTCCCAAGGTACTTCTGCAGGCTGCTGTAAACTCAGGGTTCAATCAAAAGGGAAAGGAATGCCATCTTCAAACCTTACTTTCATGACAGTAGGTGCCAGTGAAGCCTTTGTTACATTCGCAAGTAAACTTGCCACCCGCTTGGCTTTTGCACTTGCCATGTGGGCCACAGACGTTGGAAGAGATGTAGCGGACTCCTTCTGGAGTGCTGTTGGAAGCCACTGCAACAGTGCAGCTGTCAATGACTGCCGAAGAAAGAAGGCAAATGCACAGAATCAGCCCTCGTGGTCCTTTCGAAGAGGCCCTCCACACGCCATTCAAGCTGCCTACAAGCCTTTCCCAAAGTGGTGGCCTCCGGATGTTTGAGATGGTTCGATCTTATTTGTTCCAGCCAAAGCAGTGTTCACATTTGCTTGAACTGATAGGAATTATAGCACCAAGCATATGGAGGACACCAGACTAGGGTCAATGGCTTCAAAATAAGCCTTTGCAGCATCTTCTGGACAAAACTGACCTGTGCCAAGACATAACTACAGTCACATTGTGGATAGAAAGCTCCACACTGGACCACATCTTGAAGGCTTAGACAGCAGCCTTCCCCAATCTGGAGCCCTCTGGATACTTGGGACTACAACTTCCACAGTCTCTGATGGCTGGCCAAGCTGGCTGGGGCTGCTGGGTCACCACCCAAAGCATCTGGCAGGCATTAGATGTGGCTTAGAGGGTCTTTGCTGTCTTTCAATGGCAGCATCTCTGCAGGGTTTCAAGCAAGGGTTCTTTTACACCCTGGAGGCACCAGGGATGGACTCCAGGTCATTCTGCACGCAGAGCACAGGTGCAGGGCTAAGACTGGCAGCAAAACCAATTCAGCAAGCTGCCCCATGTCACACATACAGACCTTCACAAGGAGTCGAGCGGCAGTGATCCTTGAGGTGCGAACAGTTCTTCCCTTCATAATCTTCAGGACAGTTGCTACAGAAGTAATCGCTCTCATAATTGAAGCACTGGGCCCCGTTCTGGCATGGATTGGGTTCACAATAATCTATGTCCAACTGTGAGCGGTGATGGAGACGAAAGAGGAAGACAGAACAGAGAGGCTGCCTAAGACAAAGGCTTTATTATTACTCTTCCCACTGCCACAGGCAGGAAACACTGTGGAATCTGACCTTTTTATCAGCTGCCTCAATTACTTGTGTACAACATACACAATGCGGCAGTTGCCAACCCCACTTCAACAAAGGTTATCAAGCAGCATGCAGAGGGGCTGAAATGCAGAGTTCTGTCAACATCAAGCATGCAGGCCTTTCACTAGCCATGCCTCCCTTGCCTCCGTTTCCTCACCTTGTGAGGAAAAAGGACAAAGGAAAAAAAGGTGTCACGGCTTGCTGAATGCTGGCATTCAGCAAACAGGGCCAGAGACCGGGCTAGCTAGGTGCCCTTATCAGGAGCTTGCATTTCGCCTGCCCTCACCTGACAGACATTTCCTGAGAAGCCAGCAGGGCAGAGACATTGGAATCCATTGATTTCATCTTGGCAATGACCCCCATTCAAGCAAGGGTTGCTCGCACATTCATTGATGTCTCCCTCGCAGTGTTCCCCTGCGTAGCCAGGTGGGCAGTCACACTGGTAACTATTAACCAAGTCCTGAAAGAGGAGTTGAGAAATCCGTTCACAGCAGCTTCTTAAAAGCACCTTGCCTACACAAAGCTTTTCATGCACAGTGTGTGGTGTGGTGTGGTGCAGTGCAGTGCAGCTTTTTCAACGCAACTCGACTGTGTTGGGCGACAGCTCCCAGAATCCCCCAGCCAGGGCTGGCTGGGAGATTCTGAGGGTTTCATCCAACACATCTGGAAGTTGCCCAGTTAGAGAAGGTGGGTGTCGTGGAGGAAGGCGGGCTGAGTTGCCTATCTCTACTCTGCTGCATTATTTTCTTAAGAACCTGGGACTGAAGCCACATTCCATGTAACAAAAAAGGACTCACCTTGCAAGTCCCTCCATTCTGACATTGTCCAATACAGTCATCAATATCTGGAAATTGAAAAAAAGGATCCCACAGTTAGCAAGCCTATGGAAGACTTGAACTCCAAGAGGAGGCATTCAAGTGGCTCTGTAACTCTCCCTAGATAAACCCTTTGTCAGGTTTCCTGCATGCTTTCCTCCAGATAAGGTTATTGTAATGGGTGGGAACCTTCAGCAATTCTTCCAGTGGAGTTAGGTTGAAACTTCACATCATTGTTTGAGTCACCTTATCTTAATATAGCCATGTTGTGGACTAATGGGTTTGATAAAATTGCTTCTTATTCATGCCAGGGTGACTACTCCCTTTCTAAAAACATTGGCTGCCCCCCCTCCTTCCCTTGGGGGCTCCTACCAAAGGCTGTTGATTGTAGCACAGGAATGACATTTTGCCTCAAGAAACCCAAGCAGTCAGAGTTGCATGAAGCTTACACCACACTGCAGTTGCTAACCTTAAAGCACGACCCTATGCAAGTTAAGACAAAAAAGCCCTCAAACTCCCAGCATGACATAATAAAGCAGTGCCATGATAAATCTGCTACACTTAAGGTGCAATTGGATTCGTGTTTAAGCAGAAAGAAGGCCTAGAACTTTTTGTCCTTCTAAACTTTCTTAATGCCACAAAATTCCTTGTTGCATTTGCTTCAATAGACTGCCTCCTAGTCAACACATGCACACTGTATACTGAGGGGATCCAGGATCCTTCTGGGTTGGTGGCACATTGGGAATTTTCAGTGTCTTGTGGATTTGCTCACAACATGCCCCCTATGGGGAAGGGAGCTTGCCCAGTCATGAAGTGGCTGCATTACCCAGACGGCAACGTGGGGGCCTAGAAGAAAAGTAGTTCAAAAGAGCTTCAACACAAGGCAGAGGAGGGTCAGAGCTCTGACTCACAAAGCTTCTTCACTGAACCCCAGTAAAGGCAGGGCTGGAAGGCAGGCAGAACTCTGCTTTGTAGCATGCATGCCATCCGCCTGATTACAAACAAAGCAAAATGTTAAAAAAATCTGAAGAGATACAATAAAATCAGGAGGAATGGGGCATCTGTCAGGCACCGAGGGAGGGGTCGAGTGGCTCACTGGCATTCACTGGCACCATGTTGAAGACCTCCAGTGTGTATTAGTGTTCACACACACACATACTTACCAATATCACAATTCTGGCCAGTCCAGCCAGGAATGCAGTCGCAATAGTAGCCGCCAATTAGGTTCCTGCAGGAATTGGCGTTGTGACAAGGTTTACCCTCACATTCATCTGCATCTGAAAAGAGACATTGAATTGCCCATGTTAAGCAGGCAGTTACAGCAAGAGGGGTGCGCACACCCTCCTCTTGTTTTCACAGCAATCACTGAAAGTTCATTAAAGACCCATGGATTTTTACCCCTTACAGGACTGGATTAACAAGCATTGAAGAAGAAGAAAGGCCACGTTACTACTTGCTGAAAGACTTTCCAATTTCTCCTTGTTTGTGGCATTCTGGCAGCTCTGAATCACTGGCCTCAATAAAGAGCAACTTTTTAAAAAGTGGAGGGGGGGAGCGGAAGAGAAGAGGACCAACACAATGGAGAGTGTCAAAGCAGTGGAGCATCTGAAATCACCGGGATTACATTAAGAACAGGAAAGCTGCACCAAGAACGTGGAAGGCTCATTCTTCATGAGATCATCCATAGCTCGGAATGTCGCTGTGAATTCCCTAGTCCAAAGGACTTAATGTGGCCAGAGAGATGGAAGCAGTTTCCCACGAGGCTGGACATGGGAGAGGCAGCAAAAGTACAGTGGGGCTTAAGAAGAAAGTGCAGCGTGACACTCTGAGGTGCTCATCACAGCTGATTCTAGGAAGTAAAGGGAGTTGCTTCCAAGGTAAAGGGGCCTTTCCCCATATTGCCAAGAGCAATAATAATAAGGGGTGGGGCGGGAAGCAATAATTACTCGAGTCCTGCATTCATGAATGAGTTTGCTGGAAGCCTCCTCCTCTGTCGGTCCTCACGGCAGAGAAGGATGCTTCTAGAGCAGCAGACTTCTCTAGCGAACTCCTCTCTTCCCAGAGCAGCCGCCTCTCACAAGACATCCTGACTGCACGGAGGGGCTGTTCTGACATGCGCTCAGCCACTGCCTCACTGCCTCCCCCAGAGCCCAGTGTCCAGTACGCCGCAGGAGCAGGCATGGAGAGGCTCTCTGCCTGCCTGCTTTCCAGGGGGCAGCCAGCAGGTAGCACCAGCAAAGCCGGTTAGAAGCTTGTGAACAGTCCCGCAGACGCCACTGAGACAGTTCTGCCGATATCGTATCGCCGAAATTCAAACCCCGTTGTAGGAAGCATTCCCATGATTTTGATGGACAAGGAGAAAAGGTCCTCCAGCTTCTCTGCCTTACATGCTCAACTTCTCACCTTTGTTCTCCACTAAACACAGTCACCTGCAGAACATTTAATGCCCTGGCTCCCTATTTTCCAACCGGGTGCCCTCCAACCGTGTCGAGCTACAACTCCCATTATCCCTAGCTAATGCTCAGGAATACTGGGATATCTTGAAATCACCAGGCCGCTGGAGCAGTTCTGAATGCCTTTTTCTACATGGATAACATTAGGCTGGGGAAAACAGTATGGGGTTAAAGTGCCCATATTAAAGCAATTTCTTCAAGGAGAAGGGTGATCCAACAACTCTGAGAACTCCTCGCACTGGGCTGACAGCAGCTGCCCATTTGATCTGAATGCAAATGATTCTCAACAAAGCAGAGTCTCCACTGGCAGACTGGCTCAACTGGGGATTTTCTGTTCCACTAACAGGAGCAGCCTCTACTTACCTATCTGACATGTTTTGCCGATCCACTGAGGTGGGCAAATGCATTTAAAGCCATCAACTAGATCCTGGCAAGTTCCTCCGTGACCACAGGGGTTTGGAGAACAGTCATCAATATCTACCAAGAGAGATTGCATGTTCATATGGACAAGTGAACATCTATGGCAGCCGTATTCGCAGGCTGCACACTTCTTTGTCAAGAACTGTGCTACGTACAGAAGACGAGATCCTGATTCTGGCCTCCAGCTTTCCTCCCTCCTCAGGCTCTGCCGGCCTTGGTGATCCCAACCACATTGAAGGGAGGCACGATTTTGATTTGAACGACTTCCAAGAAAGCATCACTCACACCGAAAGGACTTCTGCAACTCAGTAGCCCATAGAGAAAATGCTGGCTGGGCAATTTCACCTTTTGCCCATCCTGATGACAGCTGGGTAGCTAGTCTAGCAAGGATGACACTGAGAAATATCCACGCATGAACATTCACAAAGAAGTATTCATATTCTGCTTACTGCACAATGGCTGAGGGCCTCCTGCATGGCCTTGGTTATGAATGGGCCCAAACAAACTCATTTATGGTTGGGCCCAGTTCAGGACTGAGTCCAAGTGAAAGGCCTGCCACCAGACCAGGCTGTGTCACTGGCATTGCTCCAAAATCTACCAAAGGCTGTTGAGAGCACATGTGATAGAACACAACAGCCCTACAACTGCCACAAAGGCATACTGTTCCGGCTTTGGGAACGATACTGGTTGCAGCGGGGAAGCCCACAAGGAGCACCCATTCTGAACCAGACCCAAACTTTAGCAGAGCTAGATCCAGATTCAGAACATGCTTGGAAATCCAATTGTAGGGCCTCTAATCTCTGTACAGGTAGCTCCAAGAAGAACAGTAGTCAGCACAAGGAACTCCAAATGGCTCTCATCCATTCTGCATTTAATATTTTGGCCTGGCAACATATGAAGGATACAACTGGCATCAAATAAGATGAACAAATGCCAGATAATGGACTGAATCCTACTGAGCACTACTGAGCGCAGCCTCCGGAAATGAATGGGTCTTTATTCAAGACTAACTGAAGGGTCAATCATTTCAAGTAGGATACAACACAATGTTGAGCTCCAGGATCACAACCCACATTTCTCAGCTTCCGTATCTTACCTTGTTGCTCCTAAAGGGTTATTGGGTGCCATCCTATGCATGGCTGTCTGGGGCACTCCGGGAAATGTGGGGATTTTCTTGTCTAGACATGCATAGGCTCTCACCCTCAGTGATCTAACTCAAGAATGAACTGCAAGGGCAAGCTACACAAACCTGAGGAGTGCTGTCTGTTTTAAAGACAATCACACAAAACTACAAATTATAGCAGCAAGACATGCAGCATATTGGGACTATCAAGTACCTGAAAGTCCAGTGCACAAAGCAGATAGTGCAGAAAGCACAGAAAGCTGCAGTGTATTTCTGGAAGACCCGCACCCCAAAGTAACAGTGCACGGTGCCTAACATGAACTACTGGAACATTTGCATGGCGCTCAAGAACCATGCTGTTTGGCGTAGCAAGGCTTAAACTTCAGTATTAGATCGGAAATGCTAGTTAACTTACTAAGTGTGCATGTCGGCGCTGCCCAGCCCGGAGCACAGATACACTCAAATCCTGTAGAGGTTTCAAGGCAGCTTCCTCCATTGTGGCAGGGATCCGAAAGGCAGGCATGCTCCGCTGCAGAAAGAGCACAGCCCTCGTCAGCTTGGCCAAGGTGGGGACACGAGCAGCCGCCCCACTGCGTGGTCATACCACAGGTCTTGCTCAGTCCCGACTCCAGGCTCTGACTGGGTGGCCGATGCACTCTAGGCCTGTCTAATCAGGCAGTTGCTTGCGTCTCATAGGAGGCAGCTCAGGAGGACTAACCCTCCTGACCAGCAGGTCTTTCGCTCCCTTTTCCACCTGCTGAAGGCACTGTGACCTCCTCTCACTGTGTCCTGTTCCCCGCACAGGTCAACGTCAAGAGGGAAAGCATCACTGGGAGCAGGAGATGCCTACCATCACTCAGATGCTTCTGCAATCAAGCCAAATTCTCCCACTACATATGGGAGGGAGGGTCCAAGGGCAGAAACCGCTGAAGATGCTGTCTTATAGTCAGATGTTCATCTGACTTAAGCCCCATTCACTATGGTTTTCTACTCAAAGTACAATGAACAAGGCTCACTGTTTCCCCCATCAACACACACACATATACACCTCGAGGTGTAGACTCCAAGATGGTCTTCTTTTCCCCAAAATACATGGGCCGGAGGCAACAGCAAGCCATTGGTGCTGCCTGCTTCCTCTAGGGAATCCTGCAAATCCCATGTGCCCATCTCCCAGGTTAGGCCTGGCAAACCTGAGGCGCACAGTCAAGGGACAAGAGCATTTGCACTCGGCAGTAAACCAGCATCTGGGTAAGGCCTTACCGATTTCGCAGTTCTGTCCTGAGTAACCCTCTGGGCAGGAACACTGATACTTGTCGGGCCCGGTGTTGCTGCATGTACCTCCATTCAAACAAGGGGGGTGCGTCCCGCAGTAGTTGAGATCTGTAAGAGGGCAAGGCATGTCCGAGAATGAGCAGGAGGCTGCGCCGCAGGCGTTCTGTCCTTCCACCCGCAGGCTGACACCCAGGACACAGAAGCGTGGCTGCTGGCTCGGCCGCCGAAGCACAGCCCTGGCGCGTTGCCTCGCCACCTCTGAAGCCTCACGCAGCCGGGTGGGCTCCCTGGGGGGTTTGGCATACCTTTATTGCAGAACTGGCCGCCCCAGTTGGTTTCGCAGAGGCACTGCCATGGCTCGTTGCAAGTGCCATGGACACAGCCAGGGTGTGGAATGCATTTGTCACAGTACTGCCCCTGCCATCCGTACTGACACCTTCCGAGAAAGCAAAGGGCTTGGAATCATTTTCTCAAGCTAAAATCAATCAATCAATCAACAACCAAGCAGACCTGCGGAGGGGGGGTTGCTTAGGCATCCCCGTGTTTTGTCCCGTGTTGTGTTTTGTAAAGGGGATCGTTTCAAGGGAGGACGGGGTGGTTTATTGTAAACAAACAGTTCTTTAAAACAATGGAGGCTGCCTCCTCTAAAGGCGGCCTTCTCACAAAAGCATAACTGGGCTGGGAGGCCCCAGTGGGGTGCCCATGAAGATAGCATTATGCTATTCTCAAGCTCATACAAATGGAGGAGAGAAAGTGGGTGGGTGCACACCATAGATCAATCTCTGGCCATTGACAAATGGATTCTTAAAGGCATGGGGGAGAGCGAAGGAGTCAGGAGGAGAAACAATTCTCCAGGAATTCTCATGAATGGAAGGGGCTGGGGGGAAGACAAGCCAAGGAGCAGGGCACAGCCAGCTAAGCAGAGTTTCCTTTGCATAGTATCACAACACCCTGGGAAACTATTTTCTGGTCAACAGGACCACATGATAGGCTCCAGGAAAAGGAAGCATCTTCTTGCAAGGCAGATATTCATCTGTGGCTGCAGTCACAGGACAATAAAAGATGCTGAAGTTTCGATTTTGATAGCATGCAGAGACATGTATTGGGTATTTGTAACTGGGTATTTGCTTAATGTTCTATTTAATCTGGCATGTTCTTTTCCAGCAAAGCAAATTCAGACACAATATGATTTTATACAAAACGCTTATGCATGGTTTGGAGTATCACTGTAGCTGAAGAAACCAGTTTGATGTAATAACACAGCAAGGGACAGTAATCCATTATCAAAATTGACCTTAGACACAAGAAAGCACAAGAAAAACACATGGCGTGAAGAGAAATCACTGGTTTCAATACTTTTCATGTTCAGCCATTTTGTTTTTAAAATATCCTATCTGGGAAAATAAAACCCAAGCAAAGGTGAAAAGCATGAAATTGTGGGTTAACTGAAAGTGCATGTCATTACAGAGACCTGGGAAGAAGCAATCAGCAGCAATTACTCACTAAGCTGGCCCTAACTTATCAAAATAAACCTTTTCCAGCCAAGGCCTTCCATTTTCAAAGAGCCCAGAAAATCCTTGTCATGGGAAAAAATGATACAGATCTTTCCAAGGATTCACAGCAAGGAAGGAGTAAGTTTAACTTTCCTCGAAAAGCAAAGCAAAGCAAAGCAAAGCAAAGCAAAGCAAAGCAAAGCAAAGCAAAAGCAAAGCAAAGCAAAGCAAAGCAAAGCAAAAGCAAAGCTTAGATGACAAGCTATTCCCCTCATTATTTTTCTTAGGGCAGTTTTGAGAGAAGAGACCTGTTCAAAGCCTCTGGATGGCTTGATGCATTTTATAAACAGAAATGTAGCAAGGATTCCAAGCCCAAGTGGTGCAGTCTTCCCTGCCAGCCCCACATCAGCAAAAACAGAGCTCGTCAATAAAGAGGATGCAAAGGGGATAAAATCAGGGATTCCATTCCTGGTCCTGCAAACTCCCACTGAACTCTGCATGCATTCAGTTGATTCCAAACAAAAGCTTACTCAACAGACAAATGGAATCTTTACAGCACAAACTGTTCAGATAGAGAGGAGGAAAACACCTTCCCAAAGGGAAAAAGTAGAAACAAACCTTCCTTGAAAGCCTGATTTTTACTTTTCAATGCTTGGCACAGCCCATCTTGATAGATCAGTTCCAAAGCAAGCCATGGCCAGCTCCAGAAAAGTTAAGTTGTGCTAATTTTAGCAGAAGAATTTATTGATTCTTTCCAAATTAACAACATACACCATAATATTCTCACATGAAACAGCCTGGCTTGCAGACAGACACATGGATCCATTTCATTTTATCAGAGCAGACTCTTTTGCTCCAAGATGCTTCCAAGAGAAAGAAAGAAAGAAAGAAAGAAAGAAAGAA